GAGGAAAAGGAACCTTTTGTATTTTACGGTTGGCAACTTCTCTCCAACCATAAATTTCTTCAACAATAACAACAGCAACAACATGCAATATCGCATAGGGTAGCATCTCAGAGCACTTAGCCTCATGCCCTAGCACCTCCCAATCTCTGTGTTACTGTTCAACTCCACTCTCATGCTCTGCTCAACAAACTCTGTTCTGCTGCATGTCACCCTGCTCCACAATCAGTGGCTGCTCCTTCAGCAACTATATACTAAAGCTCTGGAAATCCCTCCACTTACCCCTTTAGCTCATCTCCACTCTATCTTTAAAATCCCATCTAAAATCAACTGCTACATAAACGCAAATTGCTGTTGTTGAATTTGTAAGTGTTGTGACAGTCTGAAATGATCTTAATTCAGCTTCCAATGGAATGTCCAGGCGTGGCAAATTAACTGGGATTTGGTTCAGTACCCCTTCTGAAAGATTGCTTAATCCCCATTGTGGATGTTACTGTGGTCCACTTTTAAAAAAAGCCAGCTATTGACCTTGTTGGAATGTTTCCCATACCTGACAATAAGACTTTCCCAAAATAGGGCGATAATCTATTCAATCTATTTTAACCCCCCAATCTGAAAATAGGCATCTGGTTCATCGGCAGGACCTGGAAGGGCAGACCAGTTATTGGGGGCAATGAGTCATCCCACTCAGCACCTATTAACCCTGCAAGGTAAAGCCCTAATGGGTAGGGTGGTCCTAACTTGACAAACAACAGGGGTAAACTTGCCAGACCACAATATCAATGGCAAGCTATGTGAGTTTTTAACTGGTTAGATGGCAGCAGTACCTCAACGTATACTCCAAGCCATGGCTCTTGCCAACCAGTGACTAATACTTTCCAGAGTTAAGTAATCAGGATGTGTCCCTCCAGGGAGAGAGTGCGCATTCCGTTCCAACAATCTTTCTCTGGAATTTCCATGTGTAGGTGGGATGCATGGAATCCTCAGCTTGGTTTGGGTACTCTTAAGCATGGTGATGGTTTTTGGATTTGTTAGACACCCGGCTGACCAAAAAATAAATAAATCTGAAAATATGTGTTGCTCAGTGAGTGGGTTTATGTGATGTATGATGGCAAGCCATTCAGACCAAGTGGGTTCTATGTCTCCTCTATGTTAAATGTGCCAATCCTGCTCAGGGAGTTGGTAGACATGCCTTGAGCTAGTTAGCAGAAACTTCACTGATTTATGTTGAGGAAACGTTCCTGTTGCTCAACATAAATCAGTTACTTTTGCTAGAAATGTGTGTATTTGGGGATGAACTAGGAACCTCGCTGTGGAGAAACGCAAGTGTGAACAAATCACCTGTTGCTTTACTTTGTCTCACTTTTCTGCCCCAGATAAAACAGTGCATTATTTATGAGTTGACTGATGGTAGCTGCTCTCGATACACAAAAGAATGCCTCAATTTACTTTGGGTAAAATAATAATAATTATAATCCTTGCAGTTGGTATAACGCCTTATCATGTCATTGAGGTGTCTCAAAGTGCTTCATAGGATATACTGTAAAGTGGATTGACTGTATTTTGTGGGTGAAATGCAGCAGCCGGTTTGCGCACAGCAATGTCCCACAAACAGCCGTAGAATGAGTGATCAATTTTATTTGCGGGCTGTTGGACAGACACCTGGTGAAACTCACTTCGCTTTTCATTTAGTGCCATGGGATTTTTAACATTCACCTGAACAGGCAGAAGGGTTCCTTGGTTTGACATCTCATTTGAAGGACGCGACCTCCGACAATGCAACACCAGTGCACTGCATTGAAGTATCAGCTTAGACGATTGGCGGATCACTTTTCCAGAACCAATAATCCCTTCAAAAAAAAATAATAATAACTTGGTCACTCAATCCATGGGACATTTCTGTGCGCAATTGGATTCCGCGTTTTACCCACAAAGTATACAGTCAATTCACTTTACAGTACAGATGGAGGAAGGTGGGGCGAGATTATTTGGCATTTATAGTGTCTTCAAATTCATGTGAATCTCGGCCCAGTGCTGTTAATGAAGTAGAGCAGTTTGTTAAAATTCCCATAAGTACGAATGACCCATAGTTCACAAGCAGCATAAGCAACAGTGAATCACATGGGCTTGAGATCTCTGATGCCATGTTGTATAGCTGTACTAACATGTACTGAAAAGCTGACTCCAGAAAATGTGCTGTGTTGCAAAGTGCAAAGGGAATACGGTGATTTCTCTATTGGAGGGAGGAGGGAGGATTGAAGTGGAAATAAGGCAGTTCCTCAAGGGAAAAGAGGCGAAAATCAAAAAGCAAGTCAGCTCGAGTTAATTTTGCATATGTGCTCGTAACCAGCTCAAGAGTACCATTAGCAGAGCTCTGAGAGAAGCTTGTTTACCTGCTCCTTCAGTTAAAGCTATTGTGCTACAGGAGGAAGAAAAATCTGAGGTCCAGCTGTTCGTGCTGGTGGTTGGTGGGGGGAGGTGTTTTAAATGTGTTTCTCACAAATATAATCCTCCCCTACCACATTTTTATGTGTTGTTGTTCGTATTTGCGTAAAGGTACCCTCTCAAATTTCCACTATCGTACCGAAAAGTGCCTTGATCAGTGCAAATGCTGAGGTGTTAATCGTTTGTTCTGCTTGCTTTTCTAGTGCATTTTTGGCATTTTTCCTTGCCTCCTAAAAAGCAACTATAAAGTTTAGTATTGCTCAAGTTGTATTTTATTGTCTTACTGCCGCTATTAAATAGTGTTTATTGTGCCAACACTTTATTGCAGCGTGCTAGCAGTGTGGGAGACTCCTCCCAGCAGCAGAAGCATTAAATTTTTGCAGCGTGATATCATGGAAAAGGGCAAGGTTAAATCTTATTTAGTATTAAAGGGATTGCTGTGCATTTCTTAAGAGCGGGCTGGCATCTTGCCCACAGCTCAACACTGCCACTGTGCCGCTGTTTACTCAAAATCATTTAAGATGATAAGCAAAAATCTGGAGCTAAAGAATCCTTATAGTTTTAGAGAAATTTTCCCCCAGCTTTATTCTTTGATACACTAAGAACTTAAAGAGAAAATTGTACGTTTCATCTTCCTTTGTCTTGTGCGATCCTGATTAGTAGCAATATGCAGGAATCCATTCAAATGGGCATGTTAATATTAATTACATGGAAACTCATCTGCGTGCCACCATTTAATAAAAATCGTATATTTTAGTGATATTGCTGCAAGACTCTAATTGTAGTAAGTGAATTGATCACCTTTCATGTTGTGAATTATTTTTGTTGTGAAGAAACCAGTCTGGCTAGGGTATATATGAATACGTGATTGTGATGTGCTCCTTTAACGACAGCAACAAAGCTCATGGATAGTACAGCATAGGATGGAAAACTGAAGAGGTGGAAGATTTGTTCAGCCAAACAATTATCTATATCATAGACAAGAATCCAAACTTTGTTTGTCTTAGATGGGTTGTGCTGTGCTGTGCGTCAAGCACAATATTAAATATTAATAATTAATTTGAAAGAACTTGAAACCATTTGAGAACAGGAACCTGTGATCGTATCCTTTTCCTTTAGCAATGATAAACCAAAAACGCAATTATGTAATCTGTGCAATGATCCTTTGCATCAAATTAATGTAGTGTTTGTTAAAGAATGTCATTAATGTGCACATATGTATATGAGGAAAGAAACATTTATTCTGTGAAATTGATTATTTGGAAAAACATTTTAAAGTGGTAAGGAACACATGTTTTCTGTAAAAAGATACAACAACAATTTGGATTTATATTGCGCCCTCCACGCCGGACGGCGTCTCAGAGCGCTTTACAGTTTCGGATCCCGGGACCGAGCCAGGGGGAGGGGGGGAAACAACAACAACAACACGATTCCATTTATAGAGCGCCTTTCACGTCGGGAGGACGTCCCAAGGCGCTGTACAGTTGGGTCAGGACCCGAGCAGAGGGGAAATGGTCAGGGTGAGGGGAGGGAAGGGAGGGAGCGAGGAGGGGGTAGAGAGTCGAGAGGGGAGCTGAAGGCACGGTCAAAGAGAAAGGTCTTGAGAAATGTGACCAAAGGCACAGTCGAAAAGAAAGCTATTGTATGTTCGCATTATTCTGTGAGGAAGACGAACATGACCCAGTTTTGAGTATGTGGTTACATTTCAACATTTATCTGGGAACATTGTACAAAGATTGATATGTTTAGACTATTCACATTAAATAATTAGCAGGAAACTGTAAAACTGGGAGAAGATAGTTTAGAAATGAACGCAATCTGGATACTTAATAAATTGGAAAATAAATTGCGGAAAATAACAACTTAAATCCTCTACATCCAAATATGATATGATCTGGGTTGGGCACCGATTTGACAGAAAAGTGGCTCCGTTGAAACAATGTCATTTTCAGAGTATAAATAGAAAATGCAGAATAATAAATGACTTTGATTGTTGTACCTTGCATAACATTAAAGGCAAGGGAACTTGTTGACTGGTAGGAATCTGTGCTCTTGAAGCAGTGCTCTTCCCCTGTCAATCCTGATGTCAGGTAACAGTCCTGGCGAGATTTGATTGTTCTTATTGCAGTATCACTTTGCTGCCAAATTGCTGCCAGGGATTATTTCAGATGGTATGGCCCATAGGTTCAGAAATGTGTGAAGGTAAGTAATGAGCACCGGTGGGCAATATATTGGTGCAGGTAATGGGAAAATAATTCTTTATTACAGGAGGCAGGGAACGCTGGGAAAAACACATTTTTGTTTTGACTGAACCGTGCATTCTGTTGAAAATACCTTTACTGAATTGAAATACTATGCACTTCAAAAAGAAAATAACTGTTGTTTCACACATCTTGCAATGTTTATGCCCAAATTTTCAATCTTTTTTTTTAGGGTTCTTTTTACAATCCAATAAAAGAGTTAATAACATGTTTTTCGGACAGATGGATGGACGCATCGGCAGATCATCTTTTACTTTTTTCTTAATAATTCTTTTAATAATCTTGATTTTTTTTCAGAAAACTCTTCTTTACTGACTACGGAGATGTTGCCAAGATTGAAAGATGTGATATGGATGGTCAGCGCAGAACCAGGATAGTGGACAGTAAAATAGAACAACCGTATGCCATCACACTTGACTTGGTGACTAAATTAGTCTACTGGGCAGATCTCTATCTGGATTACATTGAAGTGGTAGATTATGAGGGAAGAAACAGACATACAATTATACACGGAAGTGATGTGAGTACCGCTTATTCTGCTTCTTTTTCAGAGAGATGAATGGTTTTATTTGATGTGAGAAAAAGAAACTTGAAAACATTACATTTTGTCATCGAAACATTGCCTAATCAGTTTGCTTCCACTTTGTACTTTTTCAACCTATCAGGACGTGTTCTGTACGTGAAGTATAAATCATGCAGATGTGATGAATTCCAACGCATGATCATTTATGCGATAAAACACTATCCTTTCCATCTCTGCCGCTTTGCCTTTATTGCGGTTTGTAGATTTCTCTCCTCACCCACGCATTCTTAATGGCCCTGCTATAATGGATGGATTTCCCTGCAACATTTCATTAATTCACTGGCCCTCGTACAATTTGATCCCTTCCATGGCTTGATTTCTGATGGTTTTTGACGGTCCTTTGCAAAACTAATTTGTCAGGTTCATTCGAGTGGGTATAAATCAACAACATTGAATGTTTTGGAGAATTCCACATTCTTAGGAATCTAATGCCTCATTCTTCTATAAGGGAAACACTATTGTTCAAGCAAATAGAATATTGGGGAGGAGGAAACTTTGATTTGCCCCTCAGCCCATATGTGTGTCAGCTGCACTCTCACCTCTGAGTGAGAAGGTTGTGGCTTCAAGCCCCAGTTCAGGATTTGGAATCGCAGAGTGGAAGCGGACACTCCAATGCAGTGCTGAGGGTGTGCTGCAATGCTGGAGGCGCCATCCTTTGGATGAGATGTTAACCTCAGGTCCTGTCTGCCTGTTCGGGTGGGAGTTAAAGATCCCATGGCACAAAAAGAGAAGGGAGTTTCTCCTGGTGTCCTTGCTAACAATCCCCCAGTAAAAAAATTGGTCAGTCACCGCGTAGCTGTTTGTGAGAAATTGCTATGCTCAACTGGCTGCCCTATTTCACCCACAAAATAAAGTCAATGTACTTTAAAATATATCCTGTGAAACGCTTTGAGTCGTCTCAATGATGTGATAAGGCACTATATCAAATGCAAGGATCATTATCACTATTATTATTATTATTATCTAGAAGTACAACATTGGGTATTCGTTTCAAAGTTTTCTTCAAAGTTTTGGAGCAGTCAAATGAAGAGACCCAGAGTGTGCGCTTGCTCACTTCAAGGATATAGTTGTTCTTTACCTATAGTCAAAGCTGACACTCCAATGCAATACTGGGCTGTGCTGGAGGTACTGACCTTTGGCTGAGATGTTAAAATGAGGTGCCGTCTGCCTGTTCGTGTGGACGTTAAAGATCCCATGGCAAAGGGAAGTTAGCTGCTTGTGTTTTCCAAACCTAGTCACGAAAGTGAACATAATGGGATACATATAAAATTTGCTGGCTGCCTTGTATAACATTTCCTGGTGTGTAAAATCCACTATATTAGCTACACTGATTTGTTCTAGCAACAAAACTATATTCTAAACATTTATTGGAATGCCCTCTCCAAAGCCCATTAACTATTTTGCCCAGTACAGGCAAATAAAACTTTATTTAAATGTCAATTTATTTACCTCGGGAGTATATATTATAAAGTCAGATGCTTGATTTGTGATTGGGATAACATTATATTTCAGGGCGCTTGCAGTGCAGGAGATGACTTTATATTTTGTATGAAAGCACATCCAATCTTAATGGAAATCTGCAGTTATCTTTCTTTTTTCCTTTATTGTTGACTATTTCTCTCTCTCCCTCCCTCCCTCCCTCCCTCCCTCCCTCCCTCCCTCCCTCCCTCCCCCCCCCTCCCTCCCTCCCTCCCTCCCTCCCTCCCTCCCTCCCTCCCTCTCTCATTCTGAATACACTGAGCCACCATAGTGAGCAAGTACATCATCTGCGTTGGATATAATAATAATAATAATCTTTACATTTGATATAGCGCCTGATGTAGCATCATTGATTAGTCTCAAAGCGCTTCACAGAATATATTGTAAAGTGAATTGATTGTACATCTTGTGCGTGAAACGTGGCAGCCAATTGTGCACAGCAGCGTCCCACAAAGAGTCATGGATTGAGTAACCAAATTATTATTACTATATTAACAATATAGCAATATAGATATTGTTTATATTCTTCTGCCCTCCATAACTGGACCCAAAAGCAAATGTAATTGGACACATATAACAGTTGTTAACTGTCTTCTATAACATTTTCTGGTGTGTTACATCCAGTATATTGGTTGCACTATTATGAAAGTCACAGATGCATAGGTTTTAAGCAGTCATTTACCAAATGAATAATTTGTTAACAAAAGCAATAATTAGAGTGTAAGTTAAGTCCTACTTTACATCAGTGGATGGTTCAGGCACATCGAGGGCAGAAGGGCAAATTGTGACAACCTTTCACCACTTGATGTCTACAGTCAGTAGTGTAAACTTCCTATTATATATAGTATGGTGGCGTGCCTTTAGTCAACACTTACATAATTTACCCCATTAAGCTTTAATAATATTAGAATTAATAGCAATTTTGTTTTTTCCCGAGCTTCATGAGTTCACTAACAATCTGTCATGCAATTCATCTGAAAACCATTAGTGGGGAAAATAATGTACATGTACAGATAAATATGCAATTTGTTCAAGAAAGTAATTTCCATTCTGTAAAACACAGGAACAAGAGGAGGCCATTCAACCCATCAAGCTGTGTTGCTAGATTATAGCAATTCTTTCCATCTATTTTCTTTTATTTTATCCATAGCTTTACTTCCAATGTATTTCCCCATGAAATATCCCAATCGATTCTCTCATTCAATTCTTCCACCATACACAAAGTTCAAATAATTCAAGTCCGCCGCCCAGATACTCACCACACAAAATTCCGTACCCTGGTCACACCAGTCCTTGCCAAGCTCCACTGGCTTCCAATCACCGAATCGATTGATTTCAAGATACTCTCCCTCGTTTTCAAATCCCTTCGTGCCCTCGCACCTCCCTACCTATCCGATCTGCTTGCACCCCACTCCATCACCCGCTGTTTCTGGTTGGTTGGCTCCGGCCTCTGTTTGGCCCTTGTGCCCTCCCCACCATCGGTGGCCGTGCCTTCAGCCACTACCTCCTGAAATTCTGGAAATCTCTCCTTCAATCCCTCCACCTTGCTCCCTCCCTCCCCACTTTCAAATCCTGCCTAAAGACCCTACTTTTTGATCGTGCTTACGGTCACCTCCCCCCCCCCTCTCTCCCTGACTAAGGTGTCAGACTCCGCCACTGTCAAGTACTCTGGGATGCTACCCCAAGTGAAGGGCGCTGTATAAATGCAAGTTGTTGTTGTGGTTTTACTGCCTTCTGGAGCAATGCTGCATGATCTCATAATCCACTGATCTCAATTCTAACCTAATTGTCTTCGCTTTAATTTTAATAGTAAATGCCCTTGCTTTAGATGCCTCCATAAGAGGGAAGAGTTGCTAATCTGAGATAGTCTTAATGTTTTCATGTAATGTTGTAAATTTTAAAAACAGCACGTTAGTGATAATGTTTTTATTTTGTTTTATGTGTTCATCCAAAGGTGCTGAACCATTTGACAAGTGTTAAAATAGATCGGTGTGTGTGTAAAAAAATACATGTGAAGGTTTGAATGGTGATTTTGAAATAATTTGTGTTATAATAATGAAGTAATATGTGTGACTGCAACAGTTAGACAGGGTTTTGCACATGCTACTGATGAATAAATCATTGCAGTGCTGACGGATGTAGTCTGAAATGCAGTCGTAAATCAGAAAGCTAGCTGATTTATTATGTAAGAAATTACGCAGTAATCATTTCGCAGATGGCAACAGTAAGTTATCTTTTATTTGCAGGTTAGACATCTTTACAGTTTGGCACTGTTTGAAAACTTCATCTATGTCATTAACTTGGATAATTTCACTGCTAAATACAAAGTAACGATCTCAAAAATCAACCGATTCAATGGAACAGATGTTCAGACACTAACCCGACTAGAGAATGCCAAAGTCTTAGACGTCTACCATAAAAGAAGGCAACCAACAGGTAAAGGGCACATTTTAAAACCTTTGATTTTGCTGCTCTTGTTTTTCTGCTACAAATGAGCATTTCTGAATGACATCAACCCTTTTGGGTGGACTGGGCTGGTGCATTTTTATTTAAAGGACTTCAGTTCAAGTTAAGCTTTGACAGAGTGGATGATGGTCTCCTCTGAGAACTGTTAAGGATCTTTTGTGAAATAAGTGTTAGTAGTCCCAGGCCATTTCCCAATGGGCACGAGTGCATAGCATGAAGCTTTTGCCAACTTCAGCATTAATTTAGCAGTCAGGATACACTGTGATGAGAATGGTAATGTCACCAATGTAGTGGGAGCTTGTGTTCTGAGGAGGGTTGGGCTGAGTAGTCATGCAGCTTTCCTCCTGACACCTGCCATAATTTGCCCAGAAAGCATTTAAAGTAGAACAGTTGCAAAAAAAATCTGTACATCTCCAACCAATATGTACGACTTTGCACATCTTCAAACTGGTCACCTCAGATCTATGTTAGAATAACCTGCGATTGCTTAAATTTTTTTTTGCCTGGAAGTCTGGTATCCCATGTGGACAAGAGCAGAACCTTCCACTCCGTTTTTGTTATTTTCTACATCATATATTCCCACAATTAAACCAGTGGCACGGAGATGATTACTGTATGTGGCTCGAGTCACGGCATAACAATTGTGTATCTTTCTTTATTAAAACTCTTAATTTGCCTCCAGTGCTCAGGTTCTCCCTCCCTCAGCTTCAGCACTTCAGTGGTTAGGGCCGAGGATTATACATGCTCCCGATCACAGGGCCAATGGCTAAACCAGGATGGTATTCTGTGAAACAGCCATCAACTGCCAGTACTTGGGTTGATTTAAAGAGTAACGGATATTCAGGATGGCAACCCAACAATTGTGAACAAAGGCCTATGTTTGAGGGGGTGTTCGGACAGACCCCAGATAAGTCAATAATGAACGACTGAAATTCCATAGTTTTTTTTAGATCAATTCAATGTAGTGATTATCACAAAAAATCTGTTATTGAAATGCTTGATTTTTCTTTTAATATTTTGTTTTAACGTTCTCGGGAGCTGAGTAATGTCTTTACGCCAAACTTTGTGAGTGCTCACCAGTCATGCAAAATAATGACAGAACAAAAAGAAAAAAACAGGCAATAGTTCATCATGATTCTTTTGAACTGACTTGTTTTAAGGGAAAAAGAAAAATCCTGAGAGCTGGGCTGTCTTCATAATATAATTTGTAATATTTGTAATAAATGGCTCCTATAAAAGGCTTTCCTTTAACCCTTGATCAATAATCATTTCTCCACCAAATATACGGCAAATTTCATTGGATTGTGTTCAACATCTAACACTCCGTGATTTCAGAAGCCACATTTGCTTCCTTTGCATTTACACGACATTCATCATGAAAACTGACAACTGTTTTTGTTGCTGTCACTTGAAAAAACGAATTGTGATTGTCAACCAAGGCAAGAAATCCTTCCTTCTCATTCAGAGCTTGAAATGGAAAAAAAAGCCTAGTGAAATAATAAAACTGTACCAAACTATATCATAACTATTTGTATTGTAACATTACACAACTTATTGATTATGTATAATTGTTAAATTATCACTCTAGGTGCTCATTTAATACCTTAAAGTTGAGTTGTGCACTATATTTATTAAAAGTTCATTAATATCAGTATTAGAAACAAATTAAGGCTTGAAAGTCTTGCTCTGTTTTCCATCCGTGAAATTAAATTAATGAATTTAGGGATTAAAAAGAGGGATGGTATAATAATACAATTTATTGGCACACTGTCCTTTCATTGCTGGGATCTGGATTTCAATTTAGACCAGACCAACTGAGTAAAATTCCCCACTGTTGGCCTGCTCTGATGATGGTACATGAAAGAGTTCGCATAATCTCAACTGAATTGCTGATTCACGTGAATCCACACCATAAAATTGAATCCAATTGCACATTCAGACAGATCAGGCTGTCGAGAAGGGAAAATGTGGGAAATATTATTCTCATACTAGCATTGAGGAATAGCATCATAGAATGATAGAGATTCCAACGTAGGAGGAATCATTTTGTTTATCCTGGCTCTGGTGTTGACAATCAGTATACTCTTGGGGTAGAAAGAAATAGGGAGTCTTTTACTTTTGCTTATGCCCCGTGCTATATTGGATTAGGAGTGTTGAGAAAAATGTGCAGAGCAAATCACTAATATACTCTTGCCTCCTATAAGCAAGAAAAAGATTAGAACTGCAGAAAAGAAAATCTATATACTTTTTAAATGATTAAACGCTCTAATGAGCGAACAGTTCATTTTCAAAATAGGATTTATATTGCCACTAAAATGGGATCAAATGAATGGATAACTTACTTAAACTATCCTAGTATTTTAATTCTTTTTATATAAATGTGCCTAAAAGCTCATTTATAAATATGATTGGAAAATATCGCAAATGCTATTTTAATAGTATTCTTTTTTCTTCAACAAAAAAAGTCTCAATTCAACAGATTTGCAGTCTGCTTTATTTTCTTCCTCATAACTCCACTGTTATCTTATTTTGCCTTTCAAAGTATGGGCGATATTAGGTAAATGTATTTTGCTGCCAACAGTGTCGGATTTAATGCTCAAAAAGCAGCTTGCTTGCAAAGTGAACACAAGGGGGTGTAACCATGCATAATCAAGCTTGCATAAAATTCTGAATCATTGACAGTTCCAATAAACCACTTGTACAATAACGGAATCCCAATGAACTACCCAAAATCCATTAAGTGTTATAAACAGAAAGAGGCAAAGTGTTACAGAGGTTGATACATTTTGATGTATAAAGCTCATCTCATTTTTAGTTATTTACTTGAATTAAATACTGTGTTTGACTCCAGAATATTGTATCTTTGTAGAAAAAGAAATCACAGGATTATGTGATAGGGAATCAATTTTTACAAGGTGATAAATCACGAGATCAAGAGTTGTTTGCATTTGAATGGCTTTCGCAAACTCAGAAGAATTCGTGTATCAGCGTTTATATGAGAAGCTTGTCATTGACGGAAATAAAATGTTTGGTTGAGCTCTGGACATTTTTCTATTGTGCCATTTTTGAAAAGCATATTTTGCCATTCATAGCTTTTTGTTTCCTCATCTATTTGTAAAATCAATTTCACATCAAGTGATCTAGGTTATTCAGTCTAACAGTCTAACAACGGCACTTGGAGATTAAAATAAAATGTTTAATTCAAGGGTACAAGTAACCTGAAATGGTTCAGGCACAAAAAATCCATTAACACTCTTGTCAGATTCTAGCTAGCACTGAATATTCATCAAAATAGAGAAATGTTTCCGAAGTAGTGAGTTGGGCAGTTTGAATATTTTTAAATTTTCAAATCGTTATAATCTGTACTAGATCTTAGAATACTGACCGGAATTCTCGATTGAGATTTTATAAATAAATATAGTGAGACGATTCTCCCATTGGTTAATAAAGGTATTGAAGCGAGTTTATCCTGGTGTTCTGCCCAACAGTGTTCTTGGTAAATTAATCTTTTAGCTCATGCCTGTTTGCGGGACATCCTTGTGTAGAAATTGGTTGTCGTGTTTGTCTGTAAATACATAGCCAACAACAACTTGGATTTATATAGCGCCCTCCACGACGGACGGTGTCTCAGCGCGCTTCACAGTAAAGGATCCCAGGGCCGAGCCAGGGGGAGGGGGAGGAAGGTGACCAAAGGCGCGGTCGAAGAGAAAGGTCTTCAGCAGGGACCTGAAAATAAAGGAAGAGAGGAAGCGAGGTGAAGGGAGCAAGGAAGAGAGTTCCAGAGCCTTGGGGCATAGTGGCTGAAGGCACGGCCGCCAAGGGTGGAGCGGAAGACTTGGGGGACAAGGAGGAGGCCAGACCCGGAGGAATGAAGGCAACGGGTACTGTTTTGAGGAGAGAGGAGGTCGGAGAGGTAGGGGGGGGGTACAGAGGAGTGCAGGGACTTGAATAAAGGGTGAGGATCTTGAAGTCATTTGGTATTTGCTACATTTGATAACAATTACTTGCAAAGTGCTTTGAGACATTCAGACATTATACGCATTTCATCAATTACAAAGATTATTATTCTTCTCGACTTCATTATACTAATATTAATCCTTACATTTGATATAGTTTGCAAGGTTGCACTGCCGAGGTCAGTGAATGTAAATGATCAACCCAGATCTTAATTTTTGGTGACAATGGTGCGATAATTCAAGTCGGAGTTTAAAGCAACCATGTAATTTATCTATTACATCGAGCAGATGTGGAAACACCCCTCCCAACCCCATTCCCACCAGCTCCTTGCACGCCACACCTTGACATCCCACTTAATGTTTGCAAAATGCTTTGAAATGTTCTTCCAACTTGAAAGGCGTAATAGAAGTACAAATTATTGCTTATTGTGCAGCCCGTTTTGTTTCAGCAATCTTACTCCAAATAACTACCAATCTGGAAACAGTGAAGATTTGACTTTATTAAAAAAAAATCTTATTTGTGTCTATGAATATATATATATTCATATATATAGTATATATGTACATGACAACTATCCTGGGGATATTTATGTTCAATCCAAATGGTTACATTTAAAAATAATTGAAATAATTTCCAATTTACTTGTAAGAAAGCTGGCATGTTCCAGGGTTTCGATTGACAGAAATGTTGTTGTTCATTTGTTTCAGTTAGAAGTCATGCCTGTGAACTGGACCTGTATGGAAAACCTGGAGGATGCTCTCACATTTGCCTGCTCAGTAGCAGTCACAAGGCGAGGACCTGTCGTTGCAGCACCGGCTACAACTTGGGAAATGATGGGAAGTCTTGCAAAAGTAGGTCAAACAAACTGCGTATTTCTAAAATGTCATTGCTGTATTGAGGGAGCAGGGATTCTCCTGTTCTCCTGTACTCCTGTTAACCCTGGAAATCAAAGCACTAAGAGGTGGCGTTGTCTTAGCTGGACAAGCATCGATAAAACTTGCCATATAATAATAATAATAATCCTTGCATTTGATATAGCGCTTTTCACGTCTTCTAGACGTCTCAAAGCGCTTCACAACATATACTGTAAAGTGAATTGACTGTATATTTGTGGGCGAACGCGGCAGCCAATTGCGCACAGCAATGTCCCACAAACAGTCATGGATTGAAAATGACCAATTTATTATTGTTTTGTTTTTTTGGAGGGATTATTATCAGGCGTGTGGCGTAAGGAAACTTGCCCAAGGTTTCGCCCTCTGCCTGGAATTGAACTCAGGTCTCTCACTTGCAAAGCGAGTGCTCTAACCACTGAGCTACAGGACTCCAAGCTGTGTGATATCAAGCTGTGTGGTTTTAGCTGTTCGAACTCCAATACATACTCTGGGTTCTTCACAACAAGAAAAACAACAAATTACATGTGTATAGCACCTTTTATGTCAAGGAGGACGTCCCAAGATGTTGGACAGACAGAGTTTCAGATCCGAGCTGGGGGTCGGGCTCGGGGAGGATGGAGGGCAAGGGGGGAAGCAGGGAGATCGAAAGCACAGTCAAAGAGGAGGGTCTTGAGATGGATCTTGAAAGTGGCAAAGGAGGGGGCAAGGTGGAGAGACTGCGGAATGGAGTTCCAGAGGTTGGGGGCAGAGTGGCGGAAGGCCTGCCCACCAATAGTGGGGCGAGCGAGGCGGGAGACGTGAAGCAGGCCGGAGCCCGCTGAGCGGAGGGAGCGGGCAGGATGGTAGGGGTTTAGGACTTTGCAGAGGTAGGGGGCATCAAAACAATGGAGGGCTTTGAAGGTGAGGACCAGGATCTTGAACTGTATCCTCTGTGTGATGGGAAGCCAGTGGAGATGGGCGAGGATGGGGGTGATAGGGTCACGGAGCCTGGTGCGGGAGAGGACACGGGCTGCAGAGTTCTGGATGATATACAGCCTATGGAGGGAGGAGTTGGGGAGGCTGACAAGCAATGAGTTTGCATAGTCAAGCCTCGATGTAATGAAAGCGAGTATGAGGATTTCGGTGGCCTGCGGTGTGAGACAGTGTCTGAACCAGATGATATAGCGGAGGTGGGGGAAGGCAAAGCGGGTCATGGCGCTGATATGGGGTAGAAAGGAAATTTCACCCTCTGAAATTAGGTAAACAGATTGGATTCCTAAGAGGAGAAATTGCGCACTCCATTCTACACAGGAACGTTTCCATATGAAGGTGGCATATGTAGAAATTTCAGTCTGGTTTGGATACTCTTAAACTTGCTGCAAATTTTGTGACACTACGTAAGTACGTTGAGTAGAAAAATTGAATGTTTCATAACCAATGAAATATGATTATTTTGAATAACAATAATATATTGAGTTGGTAATGGAAATCACATTTCCCACCCTTTTAGAAATGAAGGCATTAAGTAATATTGAAACCTCATTTGCCTCTGTTTTTATGTCATTTACTCCCAAATTAGACTGGTCACTTAACCAGAGTGGGTAGAACCAGAAGGTGAAGTGTAAATTGTTCTTAAGGGTGCAAATTTGGAAATAATATTTATTGAAATATTCCTAGAGAAAGATCAGAATCTTGTATCTGGAGACTTCCCCTAAAACAAATTCAAAATTATACTTTCCCTGTTGACATTTTTATTTCCCTGTAAAAACATCAGTAAAATTGTATTAAGAAAAGTATAATATAATAAATAGCTGATGTTTTTAATTTTTCAGTACTTTCAGTATTTCTATCCCTTCCATTGCTAAAAATAAATCGATTTTTTCCCCTTCTTTTTGGGTAAAGTGTTCCAATTATTTTCCCAATTGTACATCCTTGCTTTAAGCTAACTCAAACCAGAGCAGTGATCAGTGTCATGATATAGGGTACACACTTTTCAATAATCACGGTTCAATCTGACCTGAAATGTATCTGTGTGTGTGGTATATATTGTATGTGTTTGTTCCACGTGTGTGTTCATTGCATGTGTGCACTTTTTGTTTCTGTTTTTATACTGGACATATTTCAACCAGTGAAAAGATAGCACTAGACTCTTGATCAAACCAGAACTAGTTCTTCTACGAGATCTATGTGCAAGCTTTAGGTTTATTTTCCCGGCTTGAATCTTTAATTCTTTTCTGTAGTTAATGCTGGCAATCCTAGCATTGGGAATGGTTTAATTATTAATATTACTGTATTTGAATATTGCTTCTCACTAAACATCGAAATGGACACTGAACAGCCAGCACTGTATATATCTGACTGAACAGCTGACGTTTGCTGCAAAATAGTTTACAGTACAATCAATACTAAACTGTTCATTTCCTGTTATAAAATATTTACTACATCTGATTAAGTGGTTATCAATATTATTGACCATCAAGTACATTCAAAAGAAAGATGAATTTCTGCGCACATTACAATGCTTCTGCTTGATAAAATGGATATTCAGTTAACTTCCTGAATGTATTTCTTATTCATGAGAAATTTAACAAAAGAAAGTGAAGCTTCAAACGGAATAAAGGATACATTTGATATTGATGACACATTGATTAGTTGGGGAAGGAAATAGATGCAGGAGGCCACAAGCGACTAATAAAACATGAAAAGAGATAAACAATGAAGTCTACAGATAAAGGGATTACAGGCAACACAGAGAGTTGCTTTTACTTTTGCAGTTTGCAAAATGTGCAAAGCCCACAGATAAGTTATCTGCCATCCCAGAAAATATATTCAACGTTTTCTTAGTGTTCCAGCCTCCAAATGAGTGGAAGGTCACTACAGAGACATTTGTCTTCCTCATATATCTATAATGTTATCAGCTACCCAAGTACTGTCCAACTGAAATATGTTAGGTTGTCTTTACTATTTGAATCACAGAACTTATTTAATCTTCTGGTACAAGAAGGATTTTTTTTTAGCTGGTCTAGTGAATGATAATGGTCATTCAATGGTCTAATCCTCAAAATGTAATTATCATCTAAATCCAAATTCACTGTTGAACCTACTATCCTAAGTCTACACGCACACACAAACACACTCACAAACATGTCTGGACTGCAAATGAACTTCACTGAGTGTCAGCTTGTTTTAGTGATTTTACTTGGGCGAAATCCTAACAAAATAACATCATTCAAACATTGAACTGAGTGCAATGTTCAGATAATGCATAAAATTATAGAATCATAGAATCATAGAATTGTACAGCACAAAAAGAGGCCATTCGGCCCATCAAGTTTGTGCCGGCTCTTTGAATAGAGCAATTAATGTCAATCCCACCACCCAGCCCTTTCCCCATAATCCTGCAAACCTGTGCTCCTGAAATACCCATCCAAATGCATTGCATTTAAATGCACCAACAGGTTGCATTTATCAAGTTCAATGGTCCGTAATGTATATTGGTGTCTGTTGACACTTGTTTCCAACACTTGAAACAAGAACAAATTGCAATATTGTGTGGCAATAGAGTTTGAAATTTAAAACTACATGCATTGATCTCAAAATAGACTGATTAAAATGTGCAGCTAAGATATTTAAAATTCTATATAGTAAAAAGGACAGTAATATAATGTTTCTATTAATTTGCATAATAAATCATGGACACAAAAGTTGTTCTACTTATTCATTATTCTATTTATCCATTACAGAGAATTAACTGGTGTCAGATCACTTTAGTGTTGTCAAATTCAATGAAGTTTTAACTCCACTCAAATAGTTAATGAGGGATTACATTATAAAATGTACACCAAATGATGTTTTTGGTTATTTTTAACTGACATTCATAAGTATTTTACTAATGCATTTTGGACTCTTAAGAGCATTGAATTGAATCCCATTACAAACAGTGACAAAATGTAGTTTGCATTATTGCAAAATGTAGGAGTATTTTTAAATTGGTTTCAGCAGAGGCACAAGTGATACGTGAATATCACTCTCAGAAGGGTGGGAAATTCACATGCCAGAGTGGCTCAACACTTGTGGCATACAAACTTATTTAATATGTCTGTGACTGACCTAATATAATTAAAGATTCACAAAGCTCAAATCGACTGAAGTACCAATTTTTAATGTCTTTCTGGAGAGAAAATTCTCTTCTCGCTGATCCTGAGAAAACAACTTATTGGAACAATGAACTGACTCAGTTATGACATTGCATTTATGTGCGCCATTTATCAAGTGCCCAATTTTACTGTTCACTTTGCATCAGGTCAGCTCAACAAAAACTGTGAATATCTTGAATGGTATGATTGTTAAACAGCTTGCCACCACTTTGCGGTTACTTCACCAGGAAATTGATTCACATTGCTCGTATTTATATCGTTAAGCGATGCAAATCAATTTGGTCTCTGCTCAGGTCAAAAAAATCTTAGTCATTGAGCAGCACATGTTATTGAAGAGAAAGGTGTCAGCCTGGATCAGCAGGAACATTCTCGCCTCTGTGTCAGAGTGTTGTGAGTTCATGCCTCACATTGGGACTTGAACTCAGTCTTAATGATCCCAGCATAATCATAAGTTTTGTCGCAATTTACTACTTCGGTCAAATCTGTTCAAGCAACCACCTCCACTCAGCAATCGCACCCTGTTCACAACCAACCTGGAACACAGATAGAAAACACACAAACAAACCCTGATTCGGAGGCTCTCCTTATATAAAGTCTACTTTGACCCAGTTGCCTGAGTTGTTTGTTGAAGACAGGTTTGACTGTATTTTAAATAGTTTCATTCCATTTCAATTTTTCAATGGTTCAAGGAAAAGCTGATGGTTGCCATTCATTGTCTACTAATGTTGGACTGCAAATATTCAGATTCAATTGCACCTTCTTATTTATTAATCTTTTGCTGCAGAACCAAAGAATGAACTGTTCCTATTTTATGGGAAAGGGCGTCCAGGAATCATTCGAGGGATGGATCTGAATACCAAAGCACTTGATGAATACATGATACAGGTGGAGAACCTTGTCAATCCAAGAGCTCTTGATTTTCACGCAGAAACAAATTACATCTATTTTGCTGACACAACTAGCTTCTTAATTGGGCGACAGAAAATTGATGGCACAGGGCGAGAGACAATCCTTAAAGATGGTAAGTCAATTTCAATCCTTGTGATTCCTGGAGTTGAGCGGGAACTTAAAAATCATGCTCAGTTGATTTTGCAAATTAATTTACCTGAAGTCTGTGCTTGCCTTTAGCTTGCATGTACAGTTCTGATCATTTAACATTGGCTCTAAGCAGCCATAGAACTTTTTTAAGGCTTTGGCAAAAGCAGGCAAGATACAGTGAAGAAATTGTGAAGGAACATAGTGTATTATTTCCTTTGTAGGCTGCTGTCATTTGGGCAGCTGGCAGGATGGAAAGATACAATCTTATCTCAGTGTCGTTTTGGAGAGTACCCTTTTAAAATATTTTTTATTCATAACCCATTTAACAAGCTAGCATTCAGTTTCTTCCAGATGAGATTTACAAGAATAAGCAAAAAAAATCTAATGTGTCACCTTGCACTTTTACCAATCACATGTTGGCATTGGGGGCTGAAACTTAACATTTCTGGCTTCAAAGCTGGCAAGTAGCAAGGCATGAAAGGTGGGGGTTCCAATTAACAACAGTGATCAGCAAACAGAGGAAAATGTAGTCAAGTAGGCGCTTACACCATTCATTAATAGAATCAAGGATTTATAAACCTTTACTTATTGTATGATGCCATATAAGATGAAATGGGTAATAATAATCCTTGCATTCGATATAGTCACTTATCATGTCAAAATACTTCAAAACACTTTACAGTTATTTTTCTAGAAAGTGTAGTGACTGTTCGATTGTAGGTGAATGCATGTACATTTGTATTGTGGGATGGCCCAGCTTCTTTTGTGCTGTGCTACATAGCTAGTCTGGTTCAGACACGATAGGCCAAATGGTCTTCTTCTGTGCTGTAAATTCCTAAGGTTCTAGGAGAGCAATATACCATATATACATATAAATGTATGTGTGTGTTGAAGAAATATATATTGTACGTGAAACTAAACACGTGGTTACTCTAAAGTCAGCTGATGATCATGCCTCAGCGAATAACAGGAAAAAAACATGAACAATTGAACAAATTTGAAAGCAGTAATTAATGGGAAATGCTATCAGCTGGAAATGGGGGAAACCACAAGGGAATCCAGGTTAATTTATTCTCCAAATGAATTTGTCACAACTGTAAATAAGCTGGTGGAATAGTTCTGGGAACTTGTTTAACTTGGATGTTACATGTCAAACATAAGGTTTGTGTTAGTTATTAGTCTGGAGTTTTAATCCTCAAAGCTCCCAGCAGGTCGATGAAGACTCTTGTATCTCTGATTACTGCTCTGCGTGTATACATTTAGCTCTGAAAATGAAACAAAACTGTATTAAAATATTGAAGCTACTAAAAGTTGAGGATAATGTAGTACTATTAATATTAACCCAACCCACTAAATTAAACTCCAATTTAGCTTAGCTGAAAATATAGCTTTTGTCCCATTGCTCTGACATTTCCAAGTGTTCTTCTGAATAGTATTTGGAGCAGGAGTTGGATGTGGAAGGTCTAAATATGTCAAGAGTTGCACTTGAGGTATGACCAGATATTATCCAGTTACTTTTAACAACAGTACTTGTTAGGTCACAGAAAAATGTTGGTTAGAATAGGTCACAGAAAAATGTTGGTTAGAATAGGTCACAGAAAAATGTTGGTTTCTCTACAATTAATGTGACAGATGGAAGAACCTCTGCTTGTAATGTGAGAAAGAAAGATCATGAATTATTCAAGTCCCAAGCTGGTTGCATACATTGAGGTTTCTTGTTACATCAGATACTCAGGATCCCAGCTGTGTAGTTAGTGCAGTTCTTGGATCTTGTGACAAGATTCTGAATTACAGTATTTTGGTACAAGGCTTTCTACATATTTTTGGTTCTCGGTGGAATTTCAGAATTGATACGTGTGAAGAACAGTATAATTACAACCATTATGAATGTCACAATGTTGATTGTGACTGCCAATAACCTTCTTAAAGAAATAAATAAACTAATGTGAACAAATTTACAGTAAAATTGTCAGGAGTGTGGCTAATGGCTTCCACTTGTTGAAAATCAAGATCACAAGATTGGTTTGGGTGAAGAAATGCCTTCAGCCCATTTGATCTTACCCTTCTAGTATACCCTCCCTACCATCTTCCCGTAACAGCATCAAGCTTTTATTTAAATGAGTCCAGTGTCCTGGCCTTAACCACCCAATCGGGCAACTTATTTTAGTCATTAATTATCCTCTGTGTAAAAAAATACTTCCTGGTGTTTCTATCCTGAAATTGCCCTTAGCAACTCTAAACCTGTGTTCTCTTGCTGTACTGTCTTGGTGCATCCTTGGATATTGTTCTGGGTTTAGTTTTTCAATCCCATTGAAAAGCTTTCATACCTCAATAATGTCTTCCCTGAGATGTCTCCCTTCAAGACTGAAGAGCTCTAGCTTGTCTAATTCTTGCTCATAGCTCATGTCGGTAACATTTGGGGATCATCGATATAGCTCTTATCTACACTGCCTCAAGAACCTTCACGGTACAGCCACCAGAACAGTATGCTGCACTGTACCCTAATCAGAGCTCTTAACAGATTGAGTATAACATCTGGGCATATGAACTCAACTGATGTCCTATTGTATCTTCAACGATAGCAATAAGCATCATATATCTGCATGAATGTTTCATGCCTATTCTATAAAAAACCTAATTTAGTGCATCCCTTAAGTACTTGCTACATTTAAAGAGGCATTATTATTTAAAATACAGCAAAAATTAAGTGCTTCTTTGGAAGGTAAAATCTGAAGCAGGAGCTTTAGCTGTGGAACAATGGAGGGGGATCGCTTTTAATGGCATGGTGGGTGAGTTCTGCCCCACCAAGTATCTTTTTGAAAACACATGATAAAAGTAATAAAAGCAGGCAAAAAAAGCATTTGTGTGCCCAATGACAGAACACTCCTAGAAGCTTATGTGTTCTTAGAGAATACTGGGAACTTTGTATACGAAAATAGAAATAATGGAGTGGCAATGAACAGGCAGCAGATACCCACAATATTGATAATGTGCCCAGAATCATCCTGTTTCTAGTTATCATACCACCTGCCTTGCATTTATGGCAGAACAGCTATTTTTCTAGAAATCCTACTTTTGCCGTAAACACTACACATTTGTCATGTTAATTTAAACTCCGCAGGAACTAACACACAATGACTGAAACATCAATTAAAGAAATTATTAGTGGGTGGATCTGACTGTGTGAAGACAACCTAATAATTTTCTTCGTGCCTTCATATTCTACTTGAGGCTAAAGCCACTTTTAAAGTTTAAGTTTTAATAAGACAGATATTACACAAATATAGAGATTTTTTTTGTTTTGACGAAACAATTACAGGGGACAGAAGAAGTTCTAACGTTGAAAAATAATTATTTTGTAAGAGAATATACGGTTCAAGAACAAATTTTTGCATCATTTTATTTGTCAGCCTGGAATTATTACCTGTCTTCTGAAAGGAACATGAATTGCTTTGCAAGAGACTTCTTACAAGCACCAGCTGGTGATTATACCAACATCTTGCAGGCCACAATATCCAACTCATTCAGGAGTTCACAGACACATTACTAATGAGGACACCCACATTTGTAAGGTTTCCTTAATCTGAGTAGCAACAAACAGCTTTGTCATAGCAATGTTATACATCCACAAGCTCTGAGTTTGGTGAACTGCATACGACGACATGTGCGCCATGCACAATGCAATCATATGAATTACAAAAGGCTGTCATTCCATTTAAGCAGATTGTAATGTGACGTCCAAATAGTCTTGCATTGAAGGCAATACCTCTTGATTGTTGCTACTCTCTGGACTATTTGAGAGAGGCAACCACTACATGGGTGTTTTGCAGAACCCACAGATATGATATCTGGGCCATGAGACCACTGCATAGTTTTACAATTTCTTGCAGAACATTAATATAATGAAGCCCGTGAGACAATGGTTACACAAATGCATGCAATGCTCACATGTTATTTATTGTCTGGATAGATTGTGTGCTTATGCATGGTATTACATCCTGAAAGATGAATCAGCTATTTTCTGCCTCATGCATAATTTAGTGATTTAGTAGAACATCAAGTCCTGGTGTTTCTTAATAATGTAAGTGTGACCTGACAATTGAGGAAATAAAACTTGAAGTACCTATTTGTGCAAGGTTGTGGCTGAGGGAATGGGATTAAATCTAATGCAGTTTGTTTTCATAAAGCTAAAGAAAGGAGATAAACTTGCAGAAAGAAGAACAGGAACATCATGACATTGTGTGAGATAAAGAATTCTTAAAGAAATTCAATATTCTGTTGTTACCAAGTAGTCCATGAACAGCCTGAATGTACAGCATGTAGCAAAACCAATACAGCATTAGACTTAACTGCATGAACTGGCCTATCAATCTTTCAAATGTCAAATGTGTAGCGCATATTTATCATAATGTACTGTGCTTGCCAATCCATTGTGGCATTTGGTTTGTGAAATAAAAGGGTGAGTATTGCAACAGACAACATCATAATTAGAACCGGTTGTGACCTATTTCTGGAATGGAATTCCTGCAGGTCAGTGACGTATTTGATCAGCAGGAGGCAATTTATTGGTAATGACTTCTGCTAGGAATTCGCACAAGTTAGACACCACAGCAGTCATTAGAGGTGTTAAAGAACAGTGGGCAACCTTAAATATTTTCAAAAAGTCCTACGCAACAAACCACTGTGCCAAAATTGGATGCGTGATAAACATATTTCAAACGTGGGTCAAGAGTTCATGGCAAAATAGAGGTTCCAAAATGCTAGACTTCAAATGAAAGTTGTTTAGAACTGAGTGACCTTATCAACTAAAACTTTCTTTCTCTACAACTTTGTTTTAATCCAGAACCACGAGACAAAACAACAAAAGAAAAGTTCCTCTTTCTATTTAGTGCAAAGAGTACTAAATGAACCAATGCCAAGTTATACTGCTGGAAGCGAAGTAAAATTGTTTCCACCAGTAAAGTGATTAGGAGCAGTAAGCCTGATTTTGCTTCCTGCTCCTAATTGTATTGGATGGGGCTGAAGAGAGATCAGTGGAGACATAGACACATTCTTTTTAATGCTATTAAAGGGAGAGTTACACGGCTGACTGTTGTTGAAAGGAATTCAAAATGATCCCTGAAACATTATTGAGAAATTTTAAAGGATTGCTTGTGAATGCAGGCCGAACTGATTTACATCAGCTACATTGTACTGCTACTCAATCCACCTGATCAAAGTAATCTTAGCAGCTGGACTTCAAATCATTTGTTTTCAGACGCTGCTCAACTCTGATTTATACTACGCTTTTCACAATGATCACCTCAGGAAGCTACATATATTTTAATGGATGTTGACATATCTTTCTATAGACGGAAGTTTGCAAAACAAAACTGAGCTCTAATTTTAGCATGTTAGACAAATAAAAACATTTCCATGTGTCTCACTGTAATCATAAAGTGACTCAGAAGTTGAAAGACACAATAGTTGCAGGTTGGTAGGGGAATAGCAGGTCACAGAGATAGAGGGGATCAAGGCTATGGAGGGCTTTGAAGATGAGGACCAGGACTTGAGCCTTATCCTCTGTGAGATGGGAAGCCAGTGGAGTCGGGTGAGGATGAGGGTGATAGGGTCACGGAGCCTGGTGCAGGAGAGGACACAGGCTGCAGAGTTCTGGATAATCTGCAGCCTATGGAGTGAGAAGTTGGGGAGGCCGACAAGCAGGGAGTTTGCATAGTCAAGCCTGGATGTTATGAATGCATGTATGAGGGTTTCGGCGGGCTGCGGTGTGAGACAGTGGCGGAGCCGGGCGATGTTGTGAAGTTGGGGAAAGGCAGAGCAGGTCATGGCATGGATGTGGGGTGGAAAGGATAGTTGAGGGTCAAACAAGAAGCCTAGGTTCAGGACTGGCTTAGCAAGGTGGAGTGTGCAACCATGGATGGTGATGCTGTCAGCTCCTGAGTTGTGGAGGTGCTGATGGGAGCCAATCAGGAGAGCCTCGGTCTTGTTGATGTTCAACTGAAGAAAGATAGCTCTCATCCAGGACTTGCTATCTGACAAGACATTCTGGAGTCAAGGGTAGAGGCAGAGAGTTATAGTTGGGTGTCATCTACATACATGTGGCAGTTGACCCCATGTCTGCGGATGATGTCACCAAGAGAGAACATACAAATATTGAAGAGGAGGGGACCAATGACCAATTATCTTCTGAAACAGGTTTAAACTACAAAAAAAAGATTACACTTTACAGCGTATCCTGCTGTGAAAGGCACTTTATAAAATGTAAGGATTATTATTATTATTTCTTCTTATTATTAGACATTTTGATGCAAGATCGTATTTTCCCTTTTATGTGATGGTTTACATCTCATTCATTTTTCTTTTCCATTGCTTATTATATAACTTTTTAAGCAATTTAGACTTTCAGCGCCTTGGGACGTCCTCCTGACATGAAAGGCGCTTTATAAATGGAATCTTGTTGTTGTTGTTATTTTCTTCTATTTCCTGTTTTTTAAAATCTCTCTTACCTGCACTTTTTCCTCTCATTCTTATCCTTTACTCTCTCTCATTCACTCACTCTTGATGCCAGGAATTAACAAAACTAAGAGTGGCGGGAAGCTTACTAGTGATTAATTAAGGCAGGATGCAGTATATTTTATGACATTATCCTGGAGTCAATATTCAATATGTCCATGTTGAATATTGACTCCAAGATAATGCCCATGGACAGGCAGTGACACTGAGTGCACATGAAGTTCTGTCAGTGTCACTGCCTGTTCATGGGCATTGCATAGGAAGATGGTGACCTAATGACTCTAGACATTGTTCAAAAAATTGAGAAATAATTTAAAGATGTGTCTATTGTTCAGCAAAAATCCAACGAGCTTTGCACCAAACAAGCATCTTACACTGCATTCTATTCTCAATCTATTGGTGCTGCACACTTTCACAAATGTTGTAATTCCTGTTATTTTACTGTATCATAATTTAAAATATGGTAACGTGCTTACTGGTTAAAATAAAGTGCAATGCAATGCTGACTTCTCAACCTCTTCATGCCAATATGGAACCCAATACAACAGAAACATTTTCCAACATCGGAGAGCCCTCAAATACTGCAATGTGATGTCTAGAGCTGAGAAACGATCAGCTGTAAGTCTCCTCTCCTTGACCTAGTTTAAGGCACATTCTTGCAATTAGAATGTTTGCTCCATGTCTGACCTGTGCTATAGCTGACCTGAGAGTGTTGGATGGCAAGGTGCCAGAGTAGAAAAATGTTCCATAACCCTGCATTGACTTCCTTCATCTCAATGAGCAATTAAATTCATACTTCACTCCAAAATGAAAGAATAAATGTGCTTAATTGAAATTTAACTGCAAGAATGAACATAGAGCTAAGAAGTTTGGCCAGGAATCCTTCTGAGAACCTATGCAACACATTCTTGTGTTAAGATGAATGTCATATAAATACAGTACTTTATGTTATATGTGTTCTACTTTGATTGTGACGCATTCTAAACTAGTATGATCAGATTAATTGGACTCTGCAAGATTTAACTACTACAGTTATTTATCCCTCACAATTGTACTCACTTTGTATAATAGGCAGCAGACACGTGTAGATAACCAAAGCACCCAACATTGCTGTAATTGTCATCTCCCTCTTGGGATCAATGATGGCAAGATTTTCTGTTCCTACTTGAACGTGCTCACACTGAATAGAATTTTGAATGCTGTTAAAATATCGTGAAAAATAATCAACTCTTCACTGACTCTTGCTGTACAATTTGCGCATGTGCTCAATTACACGTGTGCAAAAGGGGTTTTGATAAGAGTCTGGATTGCACGGCCTGAAAGGGTGATGGAAGCAGATTCAATAATAACTTTCAAAAGGGAATTGGATAAGTACTTAAAAAAGAAAAAAAATTGCAGAGCTATGGGGGAATGAGACGAGTTGGATAGCTCTTTCAAAGAGTCGGCACAGGCACAACACAATGGGCTGAATGGCCTCTTTCTATGCTGTAAGATTCTTTGAATTCTATAATTCTATGATAATTCTGCCCAGGCCACAATTGACAACAGCACATATATATATATATGTATATATATTAAGCCTCAACTCCAGAACTATCTGCTGCTGAGTGTCATTGCTTTACTTTACTTCCAACAGTATTTCCAGAGCATAAAAAAGATTAATGTAATAGAATGAACTTTGGAGAGGAACTGCGAGTTCATGGTGAAGTAGTTTTCCCACAATTCGACTCACTGGGGCAAAGAAAGACATTGCTGGAACCCAGATGCATTGAGTAAATGAGCAAAGACAGCCTTGATCGGAATATAATAAATATGTGAGAAAAGGTCAAAGCAATTAAACTAGGATGAGTAAAACATGAAATTAATGGAATAACTTAATCATGGAAAGAGTTAGCCAATTAATAGCACAGTTACTTAAAAACCCAGTGTCCAATGTTACCTCGCAGATGTGATCACTGGGTTTAACTTTCTTTAAACACTTTTATTTCAATTTACTGAATTGATGCATAGATTCCACCATAAAGCACCATAATGGTCAATAACACACCCTGTTCTTTTTGCTTGCATTGTATCTCTATTTCTTGTAACATGGTGTGTGGTTTGTGCGCATTAAGATATAGAATCTGTTCATTCTTTATTCTGTAGGTGTCAGCCTGGCTCAGTTGATAACACTTTCACCTCTGAATCAGAAGTTTGTGGGTTCAAACCACACTTTGGGACTTTTAACTTACTGACTAGGCTGACACTGCAATGCAGAGCTGAGGATGTTCTGTATTGTCGGAGGTGGCATTCTTCAGATGAGACATTAAACCAAAGTCCCAGCTGCCTGTTCAGGCGGATGTTGAAGATCCCATGGCACAATTTGTAAAAGGAAGGCTGTTCCACTCTGGCTAACAATCCTCCATATTAAAAAAAATGGTCAATCACTTCATAGCTGTTTGTGGGACATTGAACATGTCGGTTGTCACATTCACCTACAGTAAAATCCTGTGAACCACTTTTAAGATGTCACAACAACATAAGGTGCTATGTCAAACACAATATACTTACAACAACATGATAAGGTGTTATATCAACTGAAATATTCTGAAATATATATAATATATTTTGTCCACGTATATACAGTCAATTCACTTTACAGTATACTCTGTGAAGCGCTTTGAGATGGCTAGAAGACTTGAAAAGCACTATATCAAATGCAAAAATTATTATTATTATGTTATTATTAATATCAAATATTATTTTTCTGTTTCCAGGTGTCGACAACGTTGAGGGCTTATCAGTGGACTGGATTGGAAATAACCTATACTGGACAGATGATAGTTACAAGAAGTCCATTAGCGTAGCCAGACTTGAGAAAGCTTCACAGACACGAAAGACACTGATACAGGGTGAAATGTCTCATCCAAGGGGTATAGTTGTGGATCCCTTAAATGGGTACGTATTTTTCTCAGACTTACTTCAGTGAACAGAAACTGTTGAATTGTCATTGTCAGAGTCCCAGATTGTCTCTTCTCCTGATAAACTAAAAATTATATTGCATATAATGCTTAAGCCATTTAATTGGAATTTGACATTAAATTATTGTCCAATACAAAACTCACAGCAGCTCTATAGACCTACAGAAGATGCTTTGCATTTACAGATGGAGATTATGATTCCCTGCACAATTAAATCACTTAAATTATTCATGAAATCATGCAACAAACAAGAGGCATCCTCAAACACTCATTTTATAGGTAAGTATCTTACACTAGAGAGTGGTATTGTGTATCAGCCTCAATCAGGCCATTCCAATTAAAGCACAAATTGATGGTTCAACAACAAATCAGTAATGAAGCATTTGATTTGACGTCTGACACAAAATGCCAGGTTTCTTTTTTGCAGAGTCAAGGCATTCATTAACTTCATCTATAAAATATGGCAATGATGGTTAATAACTTTTGAGATTTTTAAGCTAACATTTCAGCGCCTGTTCCAAACTCACAAATGGTGAACTTGAAAAGGAATGTTGTTGTGATTTCTCATTGTTGCAGATTATTACATTCATGATTTGAGCTTTCACAATGTTTTTTTTGCCAGTGGCTCTCATGTTGCCCATGTGTGCGTATGAGCCACACTAAGACTCCAAGTAATTCCTGAAAAATAAGTCATAACATTCTTTTTTCCCGATGATGGATTTTCTTTTCAGCCGTGGGCTAGGTGTATTGAGGGAGAGTGCAGGGGAACATAGGTCTTATCTGTCTGCAGTGGTCAAAACTGACATCTTTCGGAAGAAATGCACACACTCTAGAGAGTGAGATTGAACACAATTGAGAACAAGAATTCTAAACATTTTTTTCAAAAAGTTCACATGCATAGAAAGAACAGCGAGTACTTCCATATAACACATCAGTTCTTGTCTTTGCTCTGTCGTTCGCCCTGGCAGGCATAGAAACCGAGATACAGCCTTAAAAGAATATCTTCCTTTTCACATTTCAAATTGGAAATAATTGGTTTCAAACAGAGCAACTGAAGTTGTTTCCAATGTACTCTTCACAATAAGAGGCAATAGTGTGAAGAATGGAATATATTTCATTTTAGCTACCAAGGATCTAACTAGAGGTGTAGCCCAAATCTCCACAGTTGCAGGAATGCCAGTTCCTATACATTTCGCCCACAAAATATACAGATATACAGTCAATTCACTTTACAGTATATTCTGTGAAGCGCTTTGAGACATCCCGAAAACGAGATTAGGCACTGTATCAAATGCAAGGATTATTATATTAATCACCAAGTCAACTGCACAATTTTATATTCATTTCAATATATATAGTCATTCTTCACTTACGCCTGAAATGAAAGGTAAGCAGGGCAAAAAGTAGAGCAAGCAATCCCTGCACAGTGTGGAACAGTAACTAATGAGCAATGTCAAATAACAGCTCCCATGATTCTAAATACGTCCATTTGAAAATAATGATTGCTCGCATAAATTACTTTGTTCCTCAACCAATCAGTTTTATGTTCTAATATAATATTTCATGGAAAATAAAATACTTCCATAAGCACATTGGCAATGAGTTATAGAAAGAAATTCTGTTCCATTATAGATCACTCACTGTGGATGAAAGGTATTTTAATAGATTTATTAAGTGATTCCAATGCTTTAAAATTGTTTTGTCCATCAGAATTGCTCAAATGAATCACATTGCAATATTGCATTAAATGTCTATATTCAATGTGAATGTCCCTGTTAAAATCTTCACATCAATATGCAGGACCGAATGTTATTGGGCCGACAGTGATGTTTTTCCGAGTTTGAGTTTTTAATTCTGACGTGGTATTACATGATGTAAGGATGTGATACATTTCACATGAGGTGGCGACACATTCCCTACTTCTTTTTATTTACAATGTGTTGTAAGATAGTTTAGAACAATTTTTGGGGAGTCACTAAATTGATGTCATTTTGATATTCAAAAGAACTTGGTTGTTACTGAGCAACGTAACAACATTTTGGAAATTTGCGATAACTGATCTTATGCCCCTCTGCAAATGAGATATAACCCAAAATCCAAATTAATCTGAACAGTGATTTGTACTAAATTCCTAATTATTATTTCCCTACCTTCTTGTTGTGTACCTTGACAAATGAGATAGAGAGAGAGAAAAAAGAATGGGCTGGGCTGTGCCAAAGCCTTTTCCAAACTTACGACACCAACAACTGGCTTTGTGAGCTGTAAAGGGAATTGCATGAGTAAGTTTGTGCTCCCCATGAGTGGATTGCTACAGTAATTCAAGAAATGCAGATTAGTCATTTAACTAAAAGCAAGAAGGCTTGAAAATGTCTCTCAAGTTTGGGATTTGAACCGTAGTTTGCCAATAGGGAGTATAAAGCACGAAACAATTTTGATTGAACTAACATGAACTTCCAATTTTCTAAACCATTTGCTTTGCTCAACTAATTATACAACACAATTACCAAAGTGTTATTTAATTTTCCAGTTGACATCCTTTGGTCTGAATTGTATTGTCATTCTTTGGCATTTGAGATGCATTTTGGCACAAGTTTCCATGCCTCTTTCTTGAGCATCTTTCATAAATTTCATTACATGATACCTCACTCTATCACCTTCTCTTTGTCGTTCAGGGTATCCTGAATAAAGCATGCTCTGGAGATCAATTCACATTCCCCAATTCTTGATGGTTATGCATATAATTGATTTGGATGTTAGAACAAGTGGATTAATTTTTATACAAATTACCTCCCTTTTTTGTGACGGGCTGCGCAAAGGGCAGATTACATAGCCGGATTGATTTATTAAAAAAATAAATCACCAAGTGACTTAAGACCACATAATTTATGAGCACTGAAGGCATGACTAAATTATGATTTTTGACTGATAAATATTTAATTTTTCTTTCGCCACGTATTACTGTTGAAATAATTCTGTGTGCATTCATTTAAGAAAACAATTACTTTGAGTCTGGGTTCTGAGGTCATTGATAAATAGGTGCTTCCAGGGGTATATGTTGCAGCATATCATTAGTTGATTTGGTGGACTTTGTTCCTATTTAGCTGCTGAGCCTATGTGTGCAGAGAACAAGATCTTAGTTCTGCCAAAAAGCCATTAGAAAATTACACTTTGAGAAACAAATATGCAGTTTTACTTTTCCAAATGTGCCAGCAAGACAGAAAACAGAGTTAAGCTTAACCTTAATGAAAGGGAATGTTTGCACTCATTTATTTTCATTACATTGCCATGATTCGGTGACTTCATTGCTTCAGACCGCCTATATGCACCACCGTTCCTCTCAGCATTGTGTCACCAGTGAAAACTCAAAATGGATGAGTTCCTAGATGCAATCAATACTTCCCCAACCTGTTCTCTGGGTTTGCCAGCTAAATAATCAAATCTTCACTATCCTTGTCAGTACAGCAATACCTGCTATTAACTGCTTTTATATAACAGTAAAATTGCTCTATTGAAGTGAAACAGGAATTTTTTTTTCAGTTCCTTGTTTCTTTTGACTGATTTATGTTCAAAATTTTCTCCCCATTGACGTACGTTTCTGTTCCTGGCCCCCAGCCTCATAATGTGGGGTTGTTTTTGACCATACTCTGCCCAAGTGATCATTGTTCAAGTGTGAGTCCGTTTGACTGTAGAGGGCATCATGGCATCTCTCCACCCACCTGCCTTCAGTTCTCTCTGTCCCCACCCTTTGGAACTCCATCCAACAATCTCTTTGTCTTGTTCCCTCTCTTACCTCATTCAAGGCACTTCTCAAGAACCTCCTCCTCGATTGAGCCTTCGGTCACCCTCCTACCACAACACCCCTGCCCTCCACCCCTCCTGATTCCAACCCCCAGCTCCAAATCTCTGACTGATTTGTTGTTGTTGTTGCCATGTACACATACTGCCAGTAGAGGGTGTTGAAGAGGGTTAAAGACCAGTACACTGTGCTGATCCTTGACATCCCTGGAAGGATGGGGACAATTTAGCCTCAGCTGAGACAAGCAAAGAAGCAAAGTTTAACACGGTCCGAGATTTCAACCAGAGAGCTCCCAATGTGTAAGCTATAACTGTAGACCACTGGCCCCTAGACATTCGTTTTAAATAATAATTCAGTCAAGCTGTCATGACTCAGTTATTCCCAGAGGGCCTGATGGTCTTAACAGCTGATACACAAAAGGTTTAAAAGTTATTTCTTCAGTGGGTTGTGGTAGATGTAAAGCCTGGAAATCATTTCTAAAATCACCACACAGGATTTATTATTTTTCTCTCTCTTACCAATGACTAATTCTGTTCTGCAAACCTTTTATATTGAGCCCTGTAGCTTAGCAGTTAGAGCACTCCCCTTCCAAGCGGGAGGTCTGCGTTCGATTCCCGGTTGGGTGAAAGATTGAACAAATTTCATTACTCCGCGCACCTCTGTTTACCTAGCAGTAAGTAGGAATCCAGTGGTTAGTTGATTGGCGGATCACTTTTCCAGTGGTAGTTATCCCTTTAAAATATATATATTTAAAAAATAATAATAATAATAATTTGGTCATTAAATCCACGACTGTTTGTGGGACACTGCTGTGCGCATTTGGTTGCTGCGTTTCGCCCACAAAATAAACAATCAATTCACTTTACAGTATATCCTGTGAAGCGCATTGAGACGTCTCATAGATGTGGTCAGGCGCTATATCAAATGCAGGGATTATTATTATAAGGTTCAGTCTACACTGATTTCATCCTTTTAACAGGCTTATATGAACGAGCAATGTTGAATAATGTTTTCTTAGTCATGCCAATGCAGATTGCTGGATTAAATTACTAACCTGAGCTGCCTCCAAGATACAGAGCTACAGTATGACGGTACAGCAAAATTGTAATTATACAGTAATTGTTTAGTAATTTCAACACTTCAACCCTGTTTGCAGTGTGGTGTTTAACTGTAGTGTGTTTTGTTTACCTATAATGAAGGGACACTTGCTACATTTTACTGGCGTTCCATTTCTGCTCTGCACTTTATAGTGTTTGGTTTGTTCTCACCTTGTGGTGCTCAACAATTTACAAAGAATATACAGGACGGAAACAGGCCACTTGGCCCAACCAGTCTGTGCCAGTGTTTACACTCCACCCATTCCTTTATTCCCTCACATATCCTTCTATTTCCATCTCCCCCCTGTGAAGATCTAACTTCCTCTTGAATGCATTTATCTGATCTGATTGAATCACTGTTTCAGGCAGCGAGTTCCACAATCTTACATAAAGTAGTTTCTCCTAAATTCGCTGCTATCAGAATACATTGGATAGGTTGAGCCTTTTTTTTGCTAGTAGGGGAGATGTTTAATACTTCTCTGCATGAAGTAGTTCTCCTAAATTCTCCTTATGATCCACTAGTCACTATCTTATATCTTTGTCCCCTGGTTATGGACTCCGCACCAGTGGAAACAGTGTATTTATGTTACCCCTTATCGAATCTTTTATAATTTTCAAAGTTTTATTAGGTTCCCCCTAAATGTCTCCTCTCTAGCAAAAAAAGGCCCAATTTATCATGTCTGTCCTGACAGCAGTAACCTGCCAGCCATGGTATCATCCTCATAAACCTACACTGTAATGTTTAATTCGCTTCCATATTCTTCCTATAGACCAGAATTGGACACATTCCTCTAAATGTGGTCTAACCAAGGCTTTGTACACCTTCAACATCACCCCCTCACTTTGATATTCTATCCATCTGGATATGAAACCCTGTGTGTAGCACAATTTATTAAAAAATATTTATGGACTTACTCAGTCCAGAACTACAGTGATTGAAATTATAACTGCTGCTGTTGATAACGAAGGCTCTAATATGGAAAGTTAACTGATGTTTTCAGCTAACACAGTAGAGAGTTTAAATCTTTGTTTGTTGCTGACCGAAGATCTAATGCATTACTACATTTGATGTAGCTGGATGTACTGGACAGATTGGGAAGAGGAAGCAATAAACAACATGACAGGAAGAATTGAGAAAGCATGGATGGACGGTTCCAATCGACAGCTCTTTGTGACAACAATGATGTTATGGCCCAATGGTTTAACCTTAGACCACACTGTTGGAATACTGTATTGGTGTGATGCTTATTATGATCACATTGAAAGCATCTTTCTCAATGGTACAGATAGAAAGGTACGTCTGCTGCTGTTACTTTTGTGTGTTATTACAAAGCCGTTGCATAATTAAGAGATCCAGCTTAAAGGGATCTTGCAATAAGACAAACTTGAATGTTTGATTCAAAACTAAAAAGACCTCCTATCAAAACAGAAAATCACAGCACGTAATGTGGTCAGTGGTACTGTTGATCAAGAGATGATTTGTGTGTTCTTTTGCCTTTGTGTCGAATTCAGCCCCAGAGAAAGATTGACGGAGTCTCTCCAAAAGGGCAAAGATCAGCTGAGCTACTCTATTGCATCCGAAATCAAAACCTGTGAATTTGTGCTTAAATGTGATGTTAATTTTCCATTTCATATCAGAAATTTCTCAATCCACAATAATGCTGAACATTTTCCAAAAAAAATACCCTTTGAATTGTTTTGTTCTTAGAGCAATTCTTGGACATCTTAATATAAATGTAATTGCTGTGCATTGATTTTCCTTCCAGTTAAATAGCATTGTTCATACAATCTTATTTTGATGCACGTTTCTATAAATATTGCAGATAGTATATGGCGGAAAAGAACTTAACCATCCATTTGGATTGTCACATTACGGAAACTTTATTTTCTGGACTGAATATACAAATGGGACCATTTTTCAGTTGGATTTGGTCACACGAAATGTTTCGCTGCTCAAAAGGGAACGACCACCACTGTTTGGACTAAAGATCTATGATGTTCAGCAACAGAGACAGCAACAAGGTACTGTACATCCATAATACTGAGGCAAGATCACTTCTTCATTTAATTGGGCATGACTCCGAAAATAAATTACGTAAGGAAAAGATAAATGTTTTTTTTTGCCAATCCTAGCTTCTCATTATTTCTTGTTATGAGTTGCTTAAATAGGACAGTTAAATGAAAGAATAAAAATAACATGAATCCATCATGGTTTATAAATCCTATTAAAATGCAAAATAACACAATCGACACAGAGTAAGAAATCTCTCATGTGGTTTGCTGTAATACATGTGACAGTTTCAAGGAGTGCCTGAGCAGTCATTTCATACAGACAGCATAGTCGAAGCAATCTTGTGGAGTCCTGTAGCTCAGTGGTTAGAGCACTCGCTTTGCAAGCGAGAGACCTGAGTTCAATTCCAGGCAGAGGGCGAAACCTTGGGCAAGTTTCCTTACTCCACACAGAGCCTAATAATAATCCCTCCAAAACCAAAAACAATAATAAATTGGCCATTTTCAATCTACGACTGTTTGTGGGGCATTGCTGTGCGCAATTGGCTGCCGCGTTCGCCCACAAATATACAGTCAATTCAGTGTGTTCTGTGAAGCGCTTTGGGACGTTCTCCCGACGTGAAAAGCACTATATAAAATGCAAGGATTATTATTATTATTATTAATCTGAATAGTTTTGCGTACACATGCACACCCATTAGCTTTATTTAACATTTATCCTGTGACCTTATCTACAGTTTCAACAATGACTTCCTAGATATTGTTGCAATTTGAAAGTAGCAGCTTAGTGCAGCAATATACTAAGATAACTATTCCTGGGGAGAAATAGTATCAAAGACTGTGAGGCGAAACTAAATTATGTTAATTGACGACAATAATCCTGATTAACACATGGGTTGGAAAAGGTGGCTTGCTGATAATGAACAAACTTGCTGATACTGAAACAGGATATCTTCCCTTCATTCACCAACACCTTTTCAATGGAAGTGTCCTGTAACCATACGCCCCATGGATTGGATTTCTCGTTTTCAAGTTAGTAAAGACACTCTCCAAATAACCTAGACTCTACAATCCATGATTTTCAAGACTACAGTTAAGAGTCCTGGAGTTGCATTATGGAGATGTAGTTTAATAATCATAATCCTTGCATTTGTTATAGCACCTTATCACATCTTTGAGACGTCTCAAAGCCCTTCACAATATACTGTAAAGTGAATTGACTGTGTACTTTGTGGGCAAAACATGGCACAGAAGGAGGCCATTCAGCCCATTGTGCCTGCGCCAGCTTTTTGAAAGAGCTATCCAACTAGTCCCATTCCCCTGCTCTTACCTCACAGCCCTGCAAATGTTTCCTTTTTAAGTACCTATTCAATTCCCTTTTGAAACTTACTTTTAAATCTGCTTCCAATTTGTGCCTATCTTTGAGGAGCATATTTACAATACTTAAATGGGTTTGTATCGTCTGTGGAAAATGGGCTTGATGGACCCAACACATTCTTTCCATGTTTTCTTTGGCTCTACCAAATGATTTAACTAAACAATCTTGTCAGAAACAATTAATGTCATTGAATTTTCTCGTCAGCTTTACAGTACTGGAAAGTTAACCCTTTGTAAAGCACTGTAGGTTTGGCTCATTTGGAAACATTCTAGCCTCAGGCATTCAGAATGACTAAGGAGATAAGAACATAAGAAATGCTAGGTGAAAAAAAGGCCAAGGTCCATTTAATTTGTCTTCCTTCCACCTTCCTGACCATCACATGCACTTACGTCCTGAGCTATCTATATACTATATCCCATAATGTTATTTCTGAAAAGAAAACTAATCTAATCTGTGTTTGAAGGAATCAATACTTCCTGTTTCAACCGTCTCCCTAGTGACCCTGTTCCACAGAGATACATTCTATTTACATGACACTGTTGAATAGAAACCATCTTAATATTCTATCTTTGATCATGCTAATTATGTAATTTTTTTACATTAAAATGTGTTGATTTTTGTCAATTGTCGTTAAATGTTGCAACTTCAGATGTTAGCACGAGGGATGGCAAGTGTGTGGTTGCTAGATGCTATGTTACCAGTGAAGTCCTGTGTCCCACTTTTCAACACAATTTCCATCTCAAGAAGCAGATCCAGAAATAGTAGAGAAGGGAGTTTCTCCCAATGTTCTGACTTTAAACTGTCCCCCAGTTTAAAAACAAAGTAATTTCTGTCATAACTATTCCTGAGATATTACTGTGTTTAAATGTATTGCCACATTTAATTATAAATGCACAGTCCCTGCACTTTACGGAAAAAAACTGACACACGTTGAGTGTTTATGATATGATACGGTGCTGTATCAAATGCAGGGATTATTATTCATTTTGTCACCTTTCAAAAAGGATAGGGAGCCAGTCTGAAACTACTAAAGTTGTTACTGCATCAATCATCTCAAAAGATACTAATCTGCTAAGAATTTTTTACACACGCGCAGTTTTTGAAGACTTTCCTGACATGAATTTATATGAGCGTTAGTATGAATATCTAACTTTCAAAGCTCTCAAAGCTAATCATTTGGGGGCAGTTACATTGCAAATCTTTTGTTCATGTACAGCTGGGTTCATGTCACATTTACCATAATGCGCAGTATAATCGTAATATAACTGTCAGTGACATTGATTTGACGTTTGTTAGGGTAGAAAACTAGCTGGAGGAATAGGTTTCACGTGGCCTCAGGTTCACACAGGATTCAGCATCTGCAACTATTGTCATGTCAAATTTTGAAAGCTGTTGGAGTTAATGCAGTCTAAAATACTTACAGAGTTTGAAGTTCTTAAGCCCAGAGAGTTCTGACAGTATAGTCAGCAGATATCTGTTTTCCCTGATTCAAGAAGAGATACAACTGCATATATTAGTTCATTTGCACAGTCTCTGAAATGCTAGCAGTCTTAACCACACTATTTATCCTGAAAGTTATACGGACTATTCTGTGATCTGAAATTTCAAATACCCATAATCTCACGACTTTAACTCCTGGAAAGAACTGCAAAAAAGCTTCCAAATTAAAACTAAATTTAAGATTTTTCTGTCATGGTTAACTGTGATATTTTTCATGCAGAGCTTGCAAAACACATATTTATTTATTTATTTATTTTCCTTGTCAGATCTAAGACAAACCTGTAATGCAAAGACTGTACTAAGATCAAGATAATTGATTTCTAAGGTAAAAAGTTGAGGATTAAACTTTTTTAGAAATTTTCAACCATAGATTTTACTTAGGTTTGCAACATTATACAAAATCGTCATGTGAGCAATGATGTATTTTCTTGCAAGCAATGTATGTAACCTGTGAGAAATGGTTGCTCCCAGGGTAGCTATTATTACAAAAATCACTTACCTTAAAAGGGATGCTGTAGCACCTTGGGATGTCTTCCCAATGTGAAAGGCGCTATATAAATGCAATGGGTTGTTTATGCTGAGACTGCTATACAAATGCTCCTGTTCACCAGGATCCCACCAGCAATTACCTAGTTGGCACTTGCCCAATTTCCCACCATTGCCTATTGGGAGGCAAATTGTACAGTCACAGACAGATTGCTGGCACATCCAAAATGGCAACAATTCTTTTAAGTGCTAGTTTATTCAAGATCAGCTCAAACCCTTCAAATACTTTGGAAATGCAGCTGCTGCTCAAAAGAAATGTTACAGTCATAGTGGAATTTCAATCTAATTCCACTGACCCTGGCAGGAGAGCAATCATAATATTATGACTGGACCTTTTTTTGTCTTCTTGTAATGTTATTATCTGATACCATGATGCATTCCCAGTGCTACAGGCAACTGTTTTTATCAAGCGAGTAACCAAGGATGCAATGAAAGACTTAGAATTCAATTTCACTGGACTTAAAACAAGAGCATCTTTGTTTTAACGTCTGGTTTGTAGGATAAACATTTAGCACAGCTGTACTGATCTTTCACTGATGAATGAATATTATAGATGCACAAGAACCCACAATTTCAAGAGCACTCGTTGAAACAAAAGCTTTTTTAATTAAGGGGAACAAAACAGTACCCGTTTTGCTTTGAACTTATACATATTTAATAACATTAAAATGAAATATTTCATTATTTAACAACTCTGCTACTTTAAACTGAAATTTAAATGCATAACCATGATTGTCATCAATCAGCCAAAGCAGGCGTACTGAAGCTTGACCTGCTCTTAAAACACTTACTTCAATGGTGCATCGCGGTTGTGAAATCAGTGCTAAAAGCAGCATGTAAATGAGATGCAAATCTAATATGTGCCACTTTGTACTGCACCTGGATCCGTTAGATGAAACTTGGGAGAAGAATAGGCACTTACTTAAGATGTAACCTTTTTCTTGTAAAGCTTTCACAGGAGAGTGGGGATTTGATGATTGGAATCCATTTCCTATATCTTTCTTAGAAAATCATAATGTTTCATATTGTTTTACACCACCACTCTTGCTGTGCTGCATGCTGTGTTCCATCCATTTATCTATCCATTGATACTGCAAGTGTGTTCATTTCTCTGAGACACGGAAAGAAATTCACCTGAAACCATTAACACCAATTATTTAGTGGCATTAAAAAAATAGAGCAAATACTGGCAACATTCGCAATTGATGACAGTGTCAGATATTGAAGTTCATAAAGAGCATTAGATAAACTGAACCCTGAAATATTTGACACAATAAAACACTGTAACAAAGAAGCAAGAATTGCAGAACAGGAATGGTGAGCAAAAGGCTGGAAATCTGGTATAAAAGGTGAACAATAGTTGACATTTAAGTACTTTGCAAAGAAAGCACTGCATACTGTGTATGGGATGGGCTAAGTAGGGAGGTAATGAAAGTCATGTGCGTCAGCTAATTTGATGGGAGACTAGATGATTATTTGGCAAATAAATCGTTTGAGGGATATAAGAGCACTGTACAATCCTATGTCACATATAGACCGTGGGAGATATTTGTGCTCCTCCAGCCAGAGGGAAGGGAGGCTTGGGTTG